ACGGACGCCCACACACACGGTTCCAGCATCTCCAGCACCTGCTGGTCAGGGCCTGACCGGTTTCCCAGAGTCAGCCTCCCAAGTGGGGCTGGCCTCTCGGGAGCCAGGACCTCACCCTGTTCTCTGTTTACCCAGCTCAGTGCCGGTGCCGGGTGGTAATTACCCAGAGCCCAGCCGGTGCTGGTGGGGGAGCAGAAGCAACCAGGCTTCCCCACGTCAGGGAAGGTCGGCCCCCCCTGGTTCCCACACCACAGGGCGGGAACCTTGGCCACCCGTCCCCACCGTCACCCAGGTGGGGGGACAGTGCCTCTGGGAAGACTGTGGCCACCCACTAATAAGCACAAGGCGCCAGCCTCCTCAGAGAGCCCTTGTGGACGGGCTGGGCCGCCGGGCAGACAGCCCCACCCGCACACGTCCAGGCGGAGGAGCCGCAGAGGCGCCCACGGCCCGGCCAGGCTCCAGGACACTCGCCCCCTTCTGTACGCACCTCGTCTCCTGCAGAGTGGCCTGTCCACACACAGACTGCCTGTCTACACGCTGGCAGAGGCCCTGGGGGGTGAACGGCTTAGACTGCCTGGCCCACCCCGCCTGCCATGTGCTCAGGGTGACACAGGGTCAGAGCCCCCCCCACGAGCAATGAGGTCGTCCTGGTCCCCGGGAAAGCCTGTCTGGGGCAGGGCTGCTGGGTAGGGGACGGGGCAGAGGCCCGGGAACGGTGCTGGCTGTGTCGGCCTCAGTCCATCAGGAACTGTTAAGAGTGGCTAGAGCTGCCAGCCAGCAGCCACCACGGGCTCTCTCTCTCCCCAGACATGAGTGTCAGCCTCTGTGACCAGAGTGAGGCCTTCATCAGCCCCTTTTCTGGAGAAGCAGAGTTCCCCTCGGGCAGCTGCCCCCAGTACTGAGTCGAGGAGGGGGCGAGCCCACCTGAGGTGGGGTGGGAAGAGGGCACACAGTCTAGTCCTGGAAACCCTCCACTGCATCAGGGACAAAGCCAGTCCCTGTGGCCTCAGACCCCCTCCCACCCCGGCCTCTGCCCACGTGGGCCACCCGCTCGCCGTGGCCTCAGCTGGGCTGCTAGCCGCCGCCCCGGCCATCAGGCCCCTCCTGCTGCCCGCCCGCCAGCCTGGGGCTGCAGGCTTGCTTCTGCTCCTCTCCTGTGAGAACAGGAGCTCCAGGAGGGCAGGGGTGCTGGGGGCCCACCCTGCTCTTTGACGAACCCCAGCACTTGGAATCCCACACCTGGCGCTCGAGAGGCTGCCAGCAGTGTCAACTGAAGCCACGGCCCTGCTACGTCCAGCTCAGACACATGTTCACACACAGATCAGCTCTGTTCTCACCAGGACCCTCTGGAGAAGGTGCCCTGACCCCTGGTCTGCAGAGTGGGTGGAGGCCTGGAGAGGGACGGTGGCTGCCCAGGCACACGCAGGGCCGGACAGAACCAAGAGGCGTGGTCACACACAACCTGCTTATCAACCACATGGCCTGCGAGCCCCGACCGCCTGGGTGGGCCCAGCCCTGGGCCTTCACCTTGGGCCCCTCGCCCTGACGGCCTCTCACCCTGACGGGCCCTCACCCTGACGGCCCCTCACCCTGACGGGCCTTCACCCTGACGGCCCCTCACCCTGATGGTGCCCTCACCCTTACAGGCCCTCACCTTGATCGGCCGCTCCAGTTCCGGCTTCCTGTAGCGGAGCCATAGCATCCCAATGATGGCCAGGGCCACGCAGAGCCAGTTGAAGAAGCTGAAGAAGTTGATGACGGAGAAGATGTCCTTGGAGAAGGCGTAGAGCAGGGTCATGACGCACTGCAAATATAGGCACGGGCCGTGAGCCCCCCCAACCCGGGAGACGTCTGCCGGGTGGGCTGACAGCCCCCACTCAAAGCAAAGGAGGGTGCTGACGGGAAAGTGGCCAAGGCATATGGATTCCAAGGCGGAGGTAATGGACCCCCAGGCTCAGGAAGGCGAACACCTCGGAACTGGCCTGGGGACCCAGCACGGGGTCAGCAAAAGTGAGCCGGTGCATCTGGGCAGCGGTTTCAAACCCGAGCTGAACTCTCCAAGAGGTGGAACCTCACCCCCTTCTCCCTGAGCTGGGCCGGACTAGTCAACCACTCCTACAATGGTGCAGAAAGAAGGGTCCTCGCTGTCCCCCGGCTTGCCCCTATCCCTGCCATGGGGACGCTCAGGCAGCCCCTGGAGAAGCCTCCTGTCCACATGCCAGACGGGACACCTGTAGCCACGGTTAAGCCCTTGTGGGGCGGTGGCTCCGACTGACCACTGTGGTCACTGCCAGCGGGGCCACCATGGGCTCCTGACTCACAGAAACAAACTCTTTCTGTTTAGGCAACTGCGTTTTGGGGAAATTTGTCACACAGCAACAGAGAACTAATAAAGCCTCACATCCTGGCACGGAAAGATGTCAGGCAGTGACGGGGCCAAAACTCACCGTGAACACAAGCGAGGGCATGGGCGTCAACAGCTGCGGGTGGATCATGGACAGGATGGAGGGCAGGTGGCCCTCCCTGGACCCCACGAAGAACAGCCTGCGGGCAGAGGAGCAGGGGTCAGCCTCGTCCCGAGGGCTGGGCTCCCTGCCAAGGGACTCAGCTGACAAGGGACACAACTAGGGGCCCCCTGTTACCTCCAGCCCCCAGCTGGGCTCAGAACGAACCCATGAAGGAGTCTGCATGAGCACAGTGGGGTCACCTCCAGGCGGGGAACTTGGTTTCTTTATTTCTGTGTCACTTGGACGTTTTGACTACTATATTATTACTCATATTATTATGAACATGACAAGAAAGAGAGCTTCCAGCACACACGTTACAAATGGCATGCAGCACTACCCCCCCGGCCCCCCTGGCCCATTCTGCTCTGGCCCCGCAGAGCCCGTGTGATGGAGGTGGTCCTGGTGGCTCACCTGGAGGATGTGAAGAGGGACCCATTGACGGAGCCGAAGCAGGAGAGGCCCACGAAGACGGGGATGACCCAGGACATGACACCCAGGTGGTAGTTCCCGAAGTCCTGCACAGACACCAGGCGTGAGCGCCACCCCAGGCGCCCTGACCTCCCAACCCGATGGTGGCCCCCTCGCAGGACCAGCCCCGCCCACTGTTGGCTCCAGACAAGGTGAGGCTCCTGCATGTGGAGGGTCCCTCGCGGCCTGGACGTTGGGGCTGTCCCAGGGTCCACACCCCCTTTCGAAGAGGGCCGGCCCCCTCTGGCACTCCTCCCCTGAGGCTGGCCCCTGCAGGGCCCTCCTCGTCCGCACATCCCCGCCCCAAGAGCTCAGAGACTGTTTACTCAGAAGGTGGGACAGACGGGCCTGAGGTGGGGCTGGGGGTCCATAAGGGACTCACCCCTCGGCTCTAAGAGCAACCATCGCCAGGACCGCAGCAGACACGCTGATATGAAACCGCTGGGGTGGCCTGGGCACTGCTGTAAGGCACCCTGTGATTCCCAAATGCAGCCAACGCCTCCCCACTTCCTGGCCGGCTTGGCGAAGCACTGGCTCAGCCCCCTGAGGAGGAGTGTGGTCTGCAGACGAGGCCCCGGTCACGGGCTCGGTGGGGAGGGGGGACGCCGGAGGGCGGCACCTTACCACAGCCACAGCCTCGGATGTCAGCATCTGCTCGGTGGACAGCGTGGTGAAGTAGGCCAGGTTCGTGAGCACGTACACCAGAGTGACAATGGGGAGGGAGATGATGATGGCCAGGGGCAGGTTTCTGAAGGACCGGGCAGCACGTCACCACAAGAAGTGGATAGAACCAGGCCCATCGCCTGACGGTGGCCGGTCCCCACCTCCCCATGGGGAAGCGGCATGTGACCAGCAAGCGGCTGGCAGGGGTCGGATGAGGGTACCAGCCTGGGCCAGCAACTCAACCCTGCTGGCCTCCACTCCCCGATCTGTGCAACAGGGCTTCCTGCCCATTCTGAGGATGAACTGTATTCAAGGCCCCACAGCCCCCATAATCCTAACCCCACACCCGCCCCCCAGGCCCTGCACTGCTTCTGTCAGGGCGGGGCTGGGCCCAAGGAGGCTGCGTCCTTCCCTCACTGAACGTGAGGAAAACACATACCCCTGCTCACACACATACCTGTAGGGATTAATCATCTCCTCTGTGACAAAATTCAAGTAATTCCTGGAATTGAGAGAGAGCAGACCTTTATTACACGTTCCTCCCACACTCATCAGGGAAACAGAATGCAGGTCCCCAGGGAGCCCCCCCGCCGGCTGCCCTGGGCCTGTGGAGAGGAGCCCTGCATCGCCCGGGGCCCCCCTGACGAGCAGCTGGGGCTCAGGGGCGCCTCCTGGGCCTGCGATGGTCCTGCCCACCTCCCCCCAGCTCCGCGTAGCCCCCTCCTGGGCAGCAGCACCGTCTGGAAGGTGCCGAGACGTTTACCTCAGGGCCGCCTTCTCGGGAGCCGGGCCGTGAGCCAGCAGCAGCGCCAGGGCTGCGCGGGGGCCCTCTTGCTCCTTAGGGTGCGTGAGGCTCAGAGCAGCTCTCAGAGGGCTTCTGGCCACCCTCTAGGATCACCGTGGTGTCCACGGTGAGATGTGGATTTCTGGCCCAGCCCATGTGCCCCAGGCATTCTAGAACCTACCATCCCCCGTAGGCAAAGAGGCCGCTATACAGAGCCAGTACGATGTTCCCCACATCCAGTTTGGTGCCTTCAAAGGAGGACCTGGGATCCAGGTTGGACACGTCACCTGGCAGAGGCCAAATAGATAAAGGAATGTCAGGTTAGACAGCACGGCACTGAGGTCAAACTTCAAGTTCTGAAATGTTCTCAGAGCAAAACAGCAACAGACAAAAATGTTGGGCTGAAGGCTTTCACTGCAACAGATTAAGCGCACTTGCTGAGCCACCCGACCCTCACGTGTGCCAGGCTCACCCTGGGGCCGGAGCAAGCAGCTTCGGCCCTGAGGAGGAACACAGTCCCAGGGGCCCAACTGGGAGGGGCACAGCAGCTCTGCAGACTCCTGGCTGCTCTGAGCACTCACCTCCCGCCTGCGCAACGAGGGACGGATGCCCGGGCAGGGTGGATGCCGGGTGTGTCTGCCTCCGCCTGGGCTACAGAGCCGGAGCGACAGGCTGATGGGCGCCAGTCGCCCCAGAGGACGTTCCTCGCAGACCCTGTGACGCAGCTCCAGGTCAGGGGGCCTGCGTCTCCGCTCTCCCCCGTGGTGCCCAGAGCCCACAGCTGCTACGTGCACACCCAGGCTGCCGCCTGCGCACACGAGCTTCCAAAGACAGCCGGGACCTGTCCCCGGGACACGGCTGTGCCTGGTGAGGGAGCAGTGCCGGCTGAGACGCTGGGACTCCAGGCTGAGGCGGCCAAGTCCCTGGCTACGAGCACCGTATCCAGCCCTCTTGGGTCTGTAAAATGACCCCACAACACACAAGACCCGAGAAGACCTGCCCCGTCACAAGGGGTCAGCCTGACAGGCACAGGCAGGGGTCAGCCGGGCTGGTGGTCCACTTCCCACGGACGAGGGCCACCCAGCCCCACACTTCACAGACGATCACCATTCAGGAAGGAGAGCTGGAAACGAGGGTGAAGGTGCCGAGGGGACAGAGGGCTGCCTGCCAGGCACCGGGGCTGGAGGAGCCGGGCTCCCGTTGGGTGCTGACTGCTTGTTAGTTCGGGACCATTTCTAACCGAGGCCCCTGGCTCTGGCCCAGGCCCTGTAGGGCCAGGCTGGGGTGTGACTCCCGGGACTACTCACGGGTCACTGCTGCCCACAGCTGGAGGGTCTGCAGGTCCCTCGGGGGTGGGGGGATGGGCGGCCATGGGACTCAGCCACCCCAGCAACACAACGCTGTGGTGGTGCGTGGTGAGGTCCCCACAGAGCCCCATCGCTCCAGCCAATCAGGGCCTGCGCTTCGGGGCAGCACTGATGTCACCTGGCACACACGGCAGTGGGGAGGGGAGGGACCCTGAGCTCCTGTTTCTGGGTCCATCTCCTTAGGGTATTCCAGACACCTGGACTCTGCCTCGCAGGTGAGCTCGGGCCTCTGATCTCCAGCCTAAGCGGGGAGACGGACGTGGGACACGTGAGGCCCCTGCACCCCCAGATGAGGATGTGGGCGGGCTCCCGGGCTCCGGCACCTCACCCAGCCTGCCACCCACACGCGGTCTGTCTCGGAGGCCCAGGTCCCGGGGCTGCCCAGTCACAGGGTGGTCAGCAGGCTGGTGGGCGGGGCCAGCGCAGAGAGCCAGCTCAGGACGGTGCAGCTAACCTCAGCGCAGCGCCCAGAGCCTGGCTGCTTCCCATGGAATGTTCTGGAATGAGCATTACTTTACACCTGCAGAGCCCTGCCACGTCCCGGGACTCTGCCCCCACACTTCTGCTGTGAGGGGGTTAGGAGCATCAGTCCCACCATTGGGGAAACTGAGGCTTGGGCCACCTGCCCAGGGGTGCAGGGTCTGGGGAGACCACCTAACTGTCCCCCCTGCCCCAGGTCTCCGAAAGGTCAGGAAGCCCCCACCAGGGTGCTGCTGCCACCACGGTCAAGGCTTCACAACATTAAAGGTCTTTCCCAACAAAGGTTCCTTTAAGTAATGCATCTGTGATTTTTTCCTTAATCTGCCCCACTTCCCTGTTGTGACACTTCCTGCCCGCTGCTTACTCTTCACCTGGAACTCCTTTGCACACCGCTGGAAGGCAGATTTTGGTGCAGTTGTTAAAACTGGCTCCAACCTCAGCACAATCCTGAATTAGTGACACCGTGTGCACACACGTCTGTACACGTGTGTACACGTATGCGCAGGGGACGCTGCGACCTGCCGGCTGCTGCTTTTGCTGAGGATAAACTCTGAGACTTGAAATGCAGGCTGGGGTTTTCAGGTAAGAACCACCGCTTCCAGGTCCACGGCCTGCGAATGTCTGTTTTCATCAAGGGGGCACTTGGTTCAGTGCCGACCAGCTTGGACCCCGGCACACGAGACAGCTGCTGGAATTCCTGCAGCAGAACGGTATTTCCTGGGTTTACAGCTTGATTTTGCTGCATCTGAAACCCCAAGAAAATACCAGCTGCTCTGACCAAAACAAATGCAGGCTGACTCTCCCCAGGCTCCTGTGGGGGCCTGCGTCGGACACGTGGCCAGGCTGTAGTGCTGGGACGCCCCTCGGCTGTGCGGGGCCTCACTCCCTGTCTGCAAAGTGCCTGACATCCCTCGGAAGGATGTGGACATCCAGTGCACAGTGGACAGATGGCGCCCCCCAGAGCTCGGAGCCTCCAGTGAGGCTGAAGGACCTCCCACTCTCTCCTGGCACAGCAGGGCGGGGGCTGGGGAGCCCCACCAGGAGCTTGGCTGCTTTGGGCCCCAGTCCACTCCTGCAAGTTCCCCTGGGCTGTCCCCCACCCTGTCACCTCCCTCCCACAGCAAGCCCCACTGCAGGCCGGGGTCTGATGGTGAGCTGCCCCTAGCAGGCGCATGCAGGCCCCTCGGCAGAGCTCTGGGGTTTGCTTGGCCTCAGGCTGGGTTGGAGGTGGGCCCGGATCAGCCCTGCAGCCCCGGCGGGCACCCGACCAACGCTGGCAGAGCGTCTGCCCTCCTCTCCATGGGTGCCATGGAGCAGGCGCCAGGCCTGCTGGTTCTGTGCAGCACTCGACCTAGGCCCCCCCAGGACTGGCACGGCCTGGAGGAGTGAGGGGTGACCCTGCCCGCGTCGTCCGGTGGTCTTGTTGGGGCTGGAGCCCTAACAGCAGGTGGGCTTAGGGCGGCTTGGAGAGCTGGTGGGGGGCCGCCTGCCTGACTCCAGGGCAGCAAGAAGCAAGTGAGGCAGCCATGCCCTCATGTAACAGCGTGTGCTGGAGCTGCCCTGGGCCCGGTGGCCGCAGTAAGAATGACACAAGGGAGCCCAGTGGATTCCAGGCTCCACACGGTGACCTCAAGCACCCTCCGGCCCCAGCAACCAGGGCACCTGTGTTAACGACTAGAGACACTTGGGGCTGTCATGGCTGTGGTGGGGGTCATGTGGCTGGAAGCCGGGGTGCCGCTGGACGCTCCGCAGTGCACAAGGCGGCCCCAACAGCAGTCGGTCCCAGGTGGCAGCAGTGCCGGCACCAGAGGATGTGACAGCAGGTGCCTGGCCCACGAGCCACTGCTCCCAGCCACCCCCACGGACCCCAACCCAAGGCACCACCCTTGTTTCAACACAGAGCTCCAGGCCCCAGACAGGGGATGAATGACTGCCCGCCCCCTCCACACCCTGACCACCACTCCCCACTCAGGCTCTGTCCTCACAGGACCACCGCCCCCGCAGGCAGATGGACAGACGGGGGCTGGGGGAAGGCAGGCCCTCTCGCAAGCACCAAGATGTGAGAACCCCAGGACCCACAGATTTACAGGGTCCCCTGGGCTCCCCCTTCTCTGCAGGCTTCAAAGTCATCCCTAACTTGTTGCCCACAGGGAAGGCAGGTGGTGGGTTCTGGCCCTAGGCTTGCCTGTGCCCCAGGTGCCCCTTCATGGGGTCCACCCATCCTCGCCCTAACACGCAGCCTCCTGGGAGGACCGCGGGAATGTGCGACGCAGTGCAACGTCCCAGTGGCTTCAGGAACCACGCAAGCCTGCCCGCCATCCAGGATCCACTTGAGAATAAGGGCGACTGCAGTGGTGTTCACAGGGTCCAGAGAGCCAATTCCAGGGAAAGCAGCCCGAATCCCTGTGCCATGCAGACGTAGCCACGGGAGTGTCAACCTGGGCCCTGGGACGCCCCCAGCCCCGAGAAGCCATGTGCACGGGGGCGGGACCAAGAGCCCCACGGGACGCGCCAGCCCCTCTGAACCAAAGGACAAGGACTGCCCACGGTCTCTGCACCGCCCCCAAGACCTCATCTGGCCTCTGTGTTGGGGGCTGGCCTGGTCACACTCACTGGTCTGGATCCATGCACGGGAACCCGCCACCTGCAGACGCCCAGTCTGCTGACGGTGTCTGGGAGAAAGCTAGAAAACCCCAGCCCCTCAAGGTGGCCAGGCCCTGCCCCACCCAGGCTGCCCTCCTGTGACAGCCGTGGACACCCCTCCTTGGGTAGGAACACTGTGAGGTCATTCCCCAAACCTGGGGGGGTCCACTGTGCCAGAACTTTCCACCTTCAGTCCCACTTTAACCCTCTGGGGGTACACACGATGGAGCGAGCTGAGCAGGGTCCCCTCAAAGTGCGTGTACACCTAGAACCGCAGGTCGTGACCGGACTTGGAAAAGGGTCTCTGCAGACACCATCGAGGCACAGACTGGGTGAGTCCTGAACCCACCAGAGTGTCCTCAGGCAACAGAGACACGAGGAGAGGCCACATGATGACAAGGCAGAGTGACGCGCTGGGATAGGGGTGGGCCCTTCCTGCAGGTGTCAGGGGAGCGTGGTCGGCTGCCCCAAGATGGAAGGGATAACTGCTGTTGTTTGAAGCCCCTAGTTTCTGTCCTTCACTGCGGCAGCCCCAGGACATCCCCTGCAGACAGAGGGACCTCAGTCCATCTGGGTCAGGCTCCCGGGTCCCCGCTGCGCGTCGTGGGCACAGTCGGGGCATGCAACAGCCACAGCCTTGGATCCTGTGCCTGAATCGCTGGCCAAGTGAGCTTGGCTGCAGTCCGTGGGGCTGAGCCCCATCTGAGAATCCACTCTGCATGGCCAGTGCCCTTAGCGGGCTCTCCCCTCCATCCAGAGACCAGGCATCCTTGTGGGGGTCACATGCCACAGCCGGCTTGCCGAGGGTCCCTCTGTCCTGTCTCCCCCCTCCAGGCTGAGTGTCTGGTGCCCAGGGACTGTCCCCCTCCAGCTCTGCCTCTGAGGGGGCAGGAACCTGGGCTTGGGGAGGCCAGGAGGGGAAAGTACTGGCTTACCACAGCCAGTGTCTATCAACAGTGTCACCTGTCTTTTAGACTCCTGGAGGAGCAGGCCCCCGGCCCTCAAGTTCAGCCTCACACCTCCAGTTGGAAAGGACACAGACTGCAAGAGACCCCAGCACTGACTGCCCAGCGCAGGGCTTTCTGGCTCCCGCCCTGGCCAGCTGCGGCCCTGTCCGTGCAGCTGGCCACCCTGGGCACGGGCGAGCGAGGGCAGCAGTGGGAGGGAGCCAGCTCCCAGGCCTTGGGTTTCACCCTGGGGGTGGGCGGCAGGAGGGAGGCATGTGACTTCCAATCTGACAGCTCCAGAGGCTGCATCTGCAGAGCATGCAGCCCAGTGGAAAGGACTCAATTAAAAATGATCAAAGGGCACCCACGGGAAAGAGCAGCCAGCGTCACAGGTCCTCCCACGGCAGCCAAGGGGCTCCTGTGTCTGCCGTGTGACCCACTGCCCTGGGCACTGGGCGAGGAGCGGACTGCCCTCCCCACTCCAGGCACCGCCCTGCCCTCCCCTCAGCCCGGGCCCTCTCTGCTGGGGGCACAGGTGACCCGTGGGGAAAACCGTGGGGCCCCAGTTACAGCATCCTGTGGTCCTGGCCAGACCCTGAGCCCCTCGAGACAGCCTCCGTCACAGGCACCCCAAGTCCTGCCTTGGGGAGGATGGGCCTGGGAGCCCGAGCGTGTCCCCTCCCCTGAGGGGGGCGACGCCCGTCCACAGGCCGCCTTGACACTGCCGTTGCTGCTGTGGCCATTTCACAGATGAGGACACTGAGGCTCCGGGAGGGGACCAGACCTGCCCAAGGTCCTCAGAGAGCCGTCTGAGATGCAGACCCTCCCAGGACGAGGGGCTGCTCCCTGTCCCGGGTCTCTGGCCACCTGGCTTGGCTGCCCAGAGCCCCCCGCACCTCCTCGTGACGCCCAATACCGCTCTTGGGCAGAAGCGGCGGTCTTCCCTCGAGGGAGCTCATCTCCCTGCGCAGTGTCCATCGTCACAAGCCATGTGGGGTCCCGACTGGACACCACGCTGCTTCGAGCAGAGAAGGGACAGGCCACCACTGCTCTGTGTCTTGGGGGCCCCCAACCTAAGAACTAAACTAATCCTTGGGGGCACGTTGACCTTCAAAGTCCTGCCTGCTGGGGCTTCCCCACTGAAAGGCCCTCATTTTGGCCCGGGTGGACCCCCACCCCCCTGGCACAAGTCACTTCGAGGCAGAACTCGGACACAGAGAAAACCAGCAGGGGGGCTTGTAGCCTCCGTGCTCACTTCTCTGGCCCCCGGGGCCAGTGTCCCAGCGCTGAGTGAGGTCGTGGGGGCTGCTGTGGGGCCGGGGGGCAGGGGCCGGGTCTGCCCTAGTGCAGGAGAGCCCCTCCCACAACCTCCGCAACGTGGAACCCTTTATCTGCTCAGCCTCGCCCACCGCTCCTACTGCTCGAGGAGACGCGAGTGTCCCACCAACCACGCGCCACAGCAAAACCACACGGGTCTCATTGTGCACCCCACGTCCCACTCCCAGCCTCTGGTCCCGGCACCACCCACTCAGCTTGGGAACAGCCTGGCCTTGGGGCCGTGGGCCCTGCTGAGTGTCATCGGTTAAAGGACAAAAGTGGGTGGAGGCAGCTGGCGGGCACATTCTGAGCCTCAAAGCGCCCTCTGCCCACAGTTCTCACTCACTCAGGCCCTCAGGCCGATGGGCCTGCTTCTCTCTGACGCCTTCCTGCCCACCCACGCTTCGGGGCCACTGGGACCTGAAATGCCAACCTGAGGTCAGGCTTCCCTCCTGAAAAGGCTGGGAGCAAATCCGGAAGCCCCGTGTGCGCAATTCCCCCATCCCCATCCCTGGCCACAGGGGCTGCCTGAGCTGCACCCCTGCCCGCGGTCTCAGCCTGGCCCTGGAGAGCTGTCCCTTGTCACCCGGACTCTGCACCTTCATCCAGCCACCTTCTGGCCCTCAGAAGGGCCTCCCTGGTTGGGGCTGAGCCCCATCTGCCCGGCTATGATTCTGCTGCCCACGGGTCTTGGCTGTCTGATGTCCATGCACCGGCTTGCGAGCTCTGGACGGCAGGGCCAAGTGCCAGTGGGTCTCGGGAAGTTCTGGTGAAGGAGAACCAGAGAACCAGGGCCCCACACCTGAGCCCCTCTGGGCACCAGGCAGGCCCAGGAGGAAGACCTTCCATGCTGGGTGGGGCCGGGCGCTGGGTGAAGGACCGTCCGTGAGGCACGGATCACAGATCACGTTCTCCAGATGCAGCGTGGCCCGCGGCCAATCTGAGCCCCTGCCCAGGGGCCCTTCCACCAACGTTCAGCACAGGGTCAGGCAGCCGCCCCAGGGGAGAAGGGTTGTTCTCCCGAAGTATCCTCTAGAAGGGAAGGCACGCGTCTGGAAGCACACTGGCCTCCGGAGGAAAACCCTTGCACAGGAATCCTGCAGACGCTGCGCTGCTTCCCAAGCTCAGAGGGGAATGGCTTCGGGGGGAGGGTGTTCTCAGACGGCAACAGAATTATAAACATGTTATGTGTTCAGGCTGAACAAAAGCTCCTTGCTACCCCTGCTGAAATCTGTTTTTACAGAAGTCTGGCTTCCCCTACATTCCTCATCTGCCTGGATTTAATCACATCAGCCAAGAAAAACCTTCACAGGCAAGTCTCCCCAACGACACTGACATGGTTCCTAGCTGGGCAGAGTCAGGTGGGCCTGGGGCGTGCTTTTTCTCCCACGCATCGGTGCCCACCTGTAAGCTCTCCACGAGGCAGGGAGTGAGTTCCCAGCCCAGACTGCCCTCCTTAGAGCTGGTCATCACTCCTGACACCCAGAGCCTTGTCTGGCCAGGGTCCTTGAGACAAAGTCTTGTCTTCAGGAAGATGCCGGAACCGGAAGACCCAGGAAGCCCTCTGAGAACAGGGGAGCACGGACACAGAGTGAAGGCAGATGCGGGGCCTGACAGCCCTGCCGGGGGGAGCGCACTCACAGGTGGTGTCTCAAGGACTTCCCAAGTGATCTGACTTCATTAAGGCTGAGAATTACCGGTCAGATGCAGGCTCCCAACATAAAGTGCATTCATGAAGCACTAAGCTGGCGAGGCGAGTGACCCAGGGTTCACGTGGAATTTTCCCTTCAGTGATGATGGTCAGAGCTGACAGGCGCCAGGTTCTCACCAGGTGTCAGAGTGAAGCCTCCCCCCATACTGATGTGTTTAATAATGGCAGTCCGCCCACACTACCTGGATCCCTGCCTCCGCTCTGCTCAGGCAGCGTAGACCAACACCGCCAGGGGTCCGTGAGGGCAGGCACCACAGCCCCTCGTGCACCCACCTCCCGAGCCCTGAGGGTGCCCCTGCCCAGCCCCGTGGACTGTGGACACCGATCCTGTGAGCACAGAGCCCCACGCGGCCAGTGCGAGGAGGGAGCAGGGTGGATTTCTGACATCACAGGCAGAAGCCTCGAGGACACGCCAGGGAGGGGCCGTTAGGGGCTTTCCATCTGCTCATTTCACAGCCAGCCAGCCCCAAAGTGTGCAGGGGGATGACAGTGGCAGCCCACATGGGGTTCTGGACGCAGCAATGCAGACTCTGCCCAAATCCTGGCTCTGCTGTGGATGCGCACCGAGCTGCCTGCAGGACCAGGCTGGCGGTGCCCCTGGTGAGCCAGGGGACGTAGGGGCTGGCTTCCAAGCCCACAGCTCTGTCAGCAGTCAGATGCAGAGGCAGGCCCCGGGCCTCACCCGCGTCCCCCTCAACACATGAGACTGGGGGGATGTGTCCTCAAGGCGACCTCTTCTAATGGGGCTCTGTGGGGTCACCATCTGCAGAAGCCAAGCAGATGCCTCCCCCTGGCCTGCCGTCCACCCGCCCCGGGGAACAATACTTCTGTTCACAAGAGACCCCCCAAGAATGTTCCTGACAGCACTTCTTAGGTCCCCAGAAACGGGGACAACTCCCCTGACACACAGGATAGACGTTACAGCACACTCACGAGGACACGGACCAGCAAACGCCTCCGTGTGGGCACCCAGCACGAGGAGAAGCCACCTCGGTAAGTGTGAGGACAGGCAATGGCACCTCCCGCCTGCGCATCAGTGCCTCTCCCGGGCAGCATGGCCCACGGACCCCGATGGAAGCCTTCACGCTCCTGCGGGCCTGCAGGCCGGCCGTCCGGAGAGGGGCCCCACTCCGGGCACAGCAGGGCCGCACTCACCTTTCCCGATCTGGATGAAGCCAAGCAGGATGATCAAGGCCAGTGCCAGGAGTTTGGCAGCAGCAAAGGCGTCCTGCACGCGGGTGGCGGCCTTCACGCTGTAACAGTTCACGGCTGTGAGCAACACTGCAGAGACAGGGCAGTGTGTGAGTCGCAGGGAAGCACAGGTAGGCACCCCAGCCCCCTCCCCGGGGTCTGACTTTCTGGGCTCCAGGTCCAGGGTCACAGGCTGAGAGCTGCCCCCCAGGGCCCCCAGCCCGGCACAAAGGATGAATGAATTCAACCTCCTAAGGGCCCACGGATTCATCCGGCCCTGCCCCCCACCCCGCACACCCCGCTGGATGAGCCTGTGAGGTGAGTGCTGTGCTCAGAGCAGGTTAAAGCGCAAATCGGCCGTTTGGAGGGTGACCGTGTCCCCCTGTTTGCTCCCACCCAACATTTCAGCATAACCTACAGCCCCTGCACAGGCTCCCAGCTTCTGAAGGTGGGGCCCTCTCTTCAGAGGGTCTTGGCAGAATCCCACAGAGAAAGGAGCGAGGTGCCCTGTCAGCTGGACTCCACCTGACAGGCTGAAGGGTGGGCCCGAGGGGACAATTTTGCCTCCTGAGTTGGGGCTGACGCCCAGCATGGGGGGCCCAGCCGTGGGGGCAGAGAAGAGCACACAAGTGCCAGTCCCACCGCTGGTATCACCACAGACACATCCAAGGGTGGGGGCGGGGGGGGCACACGCAGAGGCTGCACAACGCCCAGACACACTGGGCCCCGGGGAACAACCAGCCCAGAGCAGAGGGCGGTCAGCCAGCTGTAACACCACCGCCTCGTGAGCGCATGACAGGACACAGCTGGATTAGAGCAAAGGCGAGGGACAGACACTCGGCACCTGCCCCTCCTACTTCTCCCTCTGCTGTCTCAGCCGAATCCCAGAGAGCACCCGGTGAGCGAGCGCTCCTGGCTGGCGCTCCGCTCCTGCAGATCCCCGCCCGGGCGCAGAGCTGGGGCCTCTTATTCTCGGAGGGCGGGCTGTCAAACATTAACCAGCGCAGCCTGGACCCACGGGAAGTGCGTTTCCCGGCAAAGCCCCGCACATGCCCGGCTTCTTGGGAGGGCTCGGTGGGCGAGAGAGTCGGGGAAGGGCTCCCGCCGGAGACAGAACCAACCCAGGGCTGGCAGATGCCACGTGGCCTCTTCCCCAGCTAAGTTAATCGCACGTAATTTTACAATTGGAAGGACAGGCCCCACACCAATTAACTGGATGAGACCTGTGAGCTCTGCTTGGGACCCAGGGCCTCACTGCACCCAGCCCGCCTCCACTTATCTCTTTCGAAAGTTAATTGATACCTAAATAGCACCCCCACCCCATCACTTTCTCTTGGCTGCTCTACGCTCCGGCTGATGCAACCAAAGGCCAGGCTGCGTGCGACGCTCTCAGAAAGCCCAGGCTGAGCACTGTTTTGGAATTAGTTGCTTTTGGCTGCTATTCCTAAGCTGAAATACTCAGAAGCTCCCCTGCCAGCTGCGACAGCAAAGGCCTGTGACAAAAGAGCCACAGCAGCCCTTGTTCGTGGGGACCCTGGCTGAGCTCCCTGCACTCCTAGGCGGTGGTTCTGCACCTGTCAGAGGCTGGTGGTAAAATGAGCTGCCTCGGGGTCTCGTGACAAAGCATCCGTGTCACAGCACTGAAGCCACCTCCGGCAGCAGGAGCTGAGGCCGGGCAGCACCAGGGGCCCTCACTGTGTGGCTCTGGGGTGGACACACGCTCTGTCCAGGCCCTCGGGACCGAGGGGGAGACAGCTGTCCTGGAGTAAGCACGTCAGCACAGAAGAGGAAACAGAGGCTCCAAGAAGCCCCGTGTCCGAGGTGCGGGGGGCAGACCCAGGTCTGTAGGGGCCGTCTGATGCCCCCCTCAACTGACAATGAAGGGCGGGGGAGGAGGTGAGCAGCAGAATTCCTGGAATTCCCTTCCACGTGATGGGGGCTGGGGCGCGGGGCCCTTGGAGGACAAGCCCAGCCTCCTTTCCACCACCGCCACACAGCGAGAGGGCGGCCCCGGGGCTCTCGCCGCCGGACAGTCTCACATTCCCTGCCTGGGGAGCGACAGCCAGAGGGCGAGACCTGCTTTCCGGATGCGGCAAGAAGCGGGCGGATTGCATCACTTCTCCATTCATGCCCTGAGGGCGGGAGGGGCTGTGGCTGGTCTACACACCAGGAGGCAGCTCTTCCCGCCACTGCCCGCCCAGCGCAGCGGGGCTGCTGTCACCGCTGACGACTCATCAGCCCATGTGCAGTCCCCACCCCAGCGGAAGCAGGGGCACCTCTCCCTGCCTCACAGATGAGAGCTCTGAGGCTCCAGGAACGGGGGGGTGGCTGGCCCAGCGCCCCCAGCAGCAGGGCTGTCCTGCTGTGGTGGTCGGTGGGGCGGGACCGAGGCCCGGGGCCCCTCCTCCAGTGCCCCCAGGCCCTCCTTCAGGAAGAAGGGGCTCCACCCAGTCCTGAGGTGCCCGCTCAGCAGGAGTCAGAGCCCCAGTCCAGTCCCAGGTCGTGGACTGCGAGGCTGGCTGGCTGGCACAGTAGGGAGGGAAATGGGCCAGATCACAGCATAAAGGGGACTTTGTAACTTCCATTTCCTTCATAGAAAGAACCACAATACACGACGAAGCTTCAACGCTCACTGACTTCAGCCGACAGCTAAACAAACGCTCTGCTGTTCTCCACAGCGTCCTTTCTGAAAACTCCAAGATGAAACAGAATCAAGTAAATAAGCAGATTCACCAGGACCCGTGTCTCTGGGCCCTAACAGGAGCTGGGCTAGGAGGTGGCCGGGGGCTGCGCCTGCTCTCAGCTGTTGCGCTCCATCCCCTGGACAGGGCCCTAGCTCTCCCGCAGGGGCTGGAGGGGCAGGGTGTGACCAGGGCCTCACTGCTGACCACGGGCGGAGCGGGGCTGGCCCAGGAGCTCAGTGACGCACGGGGGTCCCCCATCTGTTGCTTTTCAGAACCCCCATGCTAGCGCCTCTGGGACCCTCTCTGACCCTGAGCGTGGGGTGGCCTGCAGGGACGGGACGCTGACGGGATTCCGCCCACCAGAGTGACTTAGGACAGCCTCTCACTCTCTCAGCTTCCCTACCAGCTGTGCCAGGAGGACGTACCAAAGGGAGGGGTGCTCCCCAGCCTCGGGGAGGGTGCTTATCCGAGCAGCACCTACAGCTCCCTCCCCAGGCCTCTGGCCCAGTTATCTGAACCTCCAGGCCCCCAGGTGTCCACCTCCTGATAACCCTTTCAGCTGCGGGTCCGCCCCCAGGCTTGACCGCTCCAGGGCAGGACACCGTGGTCCTGTGGGCTCCAGTAAGTGCCATGCGGGTGGCGGGCTGTCTCACTCACAAGGGAGGGCTGGAAATGCAGGGCAGCCTGTTTTCATTTAAAAACACCAAAACAGAGCACACAACACACCAAAATCCATTTCCCTCCGCAACAGAGGGTCAAACCCTGATGGGATTTACCGGCCCGGTGACCAGCGCTGCACTCCCCTGGGTGTTACGGGTGCAGAAAGGGCTACATGTGAGCTCCTGCTGCGTATGTGAGCTCACTCCCTCGCCCAGGGCCCTGGGCACTCCTGCCATGCCCTCCTCACAGGCGCCCTCAATGCTGACCGCTCTGCTCACTCCAGGGCACACACATCAGAGCAAGGTGACGAACAAGCCCAGTGGAGTCATCTGGAAACACAGCATCCGGGGGCCAGCTGGCCAGAGACGCTGTCCACTGTCCCCGTGTGCGGGGCTGTAACCGTGGACCCGCCCTCCTCCCTGGCCCAGGGCTTGATGGGGACCATCCCTCTCCCAGGATGGGGGGGGGGCAGGAGTCACTTGGGTTTGATGCAGGGCCCCCAGGTCAGAGCCCCAGAGCTGAGAGCCTCGCTGCTGATGAGCTGCTGGTGGGCTCCTCACATGAGCCTGTGAAAAAGGTCCTTTTTGCACGTGGTTCTAGGGCACTTGATAAAGCGGGTCAATACTTGAGGCAAAGCAGATCAGAGGCCCGGGGTAACAGTCGCCCCACACAGGTGGGAGGAGTCGAGACACCAGGCAAATGACCCCCGCTTTGCCCGCAGCTCTGCCAACAGGGCCCCGAGATGGGACAGGAAGTGGCTGCCGGCTGCAAGGGTTCCAGGAAGCTCGGCCAACCTGGGTGCCCGGGAAGCACTGGTACTGGGCCAGAGAGCAGCATCCGACCTCGTGACCGAGGCTGGACAAGCCCTGGGCCCAGGCAGCCAGTCTGCCTGCTGACCTGGAGCCTGAATATCTGTCCAACACAGCGGCACTCACTGGGCACTGGGACCCGGAGCCCTGGCTGCCAGTGGGCTGGGGCTCCTGGACTGCGGCCAGTGACCACAGGCTTGCGTGGCCCAGGTGGCCAGGAGAGCGGCCAGCAGCGGGGCTGACCACTGGACAGGCATCCTGTCGCTCTGGCTTCTTGTCCTGCCTTTGCCTTGTAGTCCAAACCCACCCGGGCACATGGGGGCCCTCCTCCCTCCCTGCACACCCAGATGTCCTCTGGGCTTGGCGGGTCCCCTTCCACCCCAGGTCCAACTCCCCCTCCCAGTATTTCTTCACTTCCTGCCCTGACTCTCATCCCTCCTAGTAACAGACAGGGGCCCCCATTCGGGGTGTATCAGAGTCCTGGGGGACCTCGTAAAACAGGTCTCCCCATCCCTGGGGTCTGATGGGGGCAGCCTGGGCGGGGCCGAGAACCTGCCATCTGACATGGTCAGGGATGATGTTGCTGCAGGTTCGAGGACCCATATGGAGAACCAAAGGTGACTTCACGACAGCTGATTCACCTTTACTGACTCCAAGAAAGTGAATGAACATGACCCCACCACAACCCAAGCACCTGAGGAGGGCCAGCCTCCCTTCCAGACGTGCTCAAAGGCGGAGCCCACTCAGGGGGACAGCCCAGCTCCGGGCCTCCCACCACCCCACTGCCGGCCACTCAAGATTGGAGCCTTCAAAGGGTCTGGAAAACTGAGAGAAAATGAAGGAATTCCCCAGGGCGGGGGCTGCTCAGATGGGACCCAGGGCTCCAGTTCTGGTGCTGGATCTCTGCCACAGCCGGATATGACACCTCGGTCCAGTG